TGCATAATCTGGCTAGAATAGTTTCTGGGTAGGTTTAGATCCACAGATCACAAATAAATTGTTTCCAACCATCTAGTCACACATTTCTGAGCCCTCTAGAGACAGGGCCAGTCTGTTATAGTAGAAATTGGCTTTTATGGTATAGGGAATGCTATATAGGAATACATTCTGTTTAACATGGATTGTGTACAGTTTGATATGTACCTCAGGTTCGGGGACATGGGGACAGCTGGGAAAACCAATCTTTTTATAAAGAAGTAATTGATCAGCCGCTTAACTGTGATCATAGGGTGTATGCGGGCCATGGCTACGCACTGAAACGAGCTGGGTCCTGTGTGCTCGATGTGCTTACTGGCAGAACTTGCTCTATGGTTTACAGACAAATACATGTTCTTTGTTTCCATGGCATTGTTTCAGGTGTCATCAGTATTTCTACTGATCAGGTGTGCCCGCTTTTGCTCAATAAAATGCCAAGAGGCTTGGCCAAAGAATGTAGAGCTGGCACCTGGGGGGTTTGGTTTTTGTTGTTTTACTATTATTATTATTATTATTATTATTATTATTATTAGTGTGTGTACTGTTTGTTTGTTTGCTTTTAGTTTTGTATTTTTTGCTATGTATAAGTCATATATTGTTTTTGTCATTATAAATATATCTCAAGAAAAATTCTCACTAAACTCAAGGTGTGAATTACCTTTGTAAATGTGTACAGTATCTGGGATATCTGGGTTTTTGGAGTTGTCCTCATTGGGTTAATCTGAGTTCATACCAGGTGAACTACTGCACCACCCTTGAGGAGCTCTGTAACATGAAACAACCTAAGTTGTTTACCAGCTCTCACATGAGAACACCTTGACTATTCAGCTATTGTTTCCTCTCCTCCCTTTCCTCCTCCTCCTCCTCCTCCTCCTCCTCCTCTTCCTGGTGCATGTATGAAATGCTCCTGTGCACATGCAGTCTGCCGTAGTCACGTAGACAAAGTGCAGTTTTTGCCTTTAATGTAGATGAAAGTATTTCTGCCAACTTGTGAATGTGCAGTGCACTCTACTGTGCAGTACTGGATTTCAGTTAAATAAACCGCACGCACACATGACAACTCATTCTGGTTAATGCAGGCAAAATGCACAGAAGATAATGGACTAGTTGTAACAAGAATATTAATGGTAAATGAAGCTAATTCAAAGGCTAAAAAAATACTGTAAAAGTACAGTTCATAAAAGTGTTAGAATGTGCAAGGTTCCAAGCACCAGCTGAGCTACCTGCAGGTACCTATTTTTTTTAAATTAATGTTTGTACCTATAAGGGCCTCTTATTTGCCTAATGATTTTTGATTTTGCTCTTCAATGCTGCATGATGTTTATTTAGTAAATTATGGTCCAATTTAGAGTAAAATAGATGATAAAGCATAAAAAAGTCATTCTCAGTGAGTCCGTCCAGCTAAACGCACCAAACTCGCTAGCGGCTAAAAGAGGCTAACTCCCCAGTTTGTGTTGGACAGCAGCTCCTCCAAGAAAGTAGTTCCAATAGGTCCATGCCTGGTTAGATGCTAAATTGATTGGTTGATGTACTGGTACTTAAACAATGACAATAAAATGATATCTAATCTTAATCAAGTCATTTGCAGTAGACATGGGGGTTTTGAAGTAGAAAAAAACATCATGAATAAACTTTATTCATTATCTGTTTCTATGCTTAGGTTGTTAACAATAAGCTTTCATGTAAGTCAGTAGCCTACCAGCTACACTCCCACAGGCATGAAACAAAGTCCCTTGTGTCCACCACCTGCAGTCCTCAGGATAATTGAAAACATCTCCAGCCTTAATCATCATACTGGTGTCAAATGAAGGGTCTTGTATTACATATATTTCCAGTAGCCTCTCCTTATTTTGAGCATTAACTGGTGACTTTACAAAAAAATATAGATTTTTTTAGCCACCACTTCTGTCCTCATTGAAACATCTCAACAACTATTGAATGGATTGCTATGAATTTTTTTTAGACAGTCATGGAGCCCAGAGGATGAATCCTCAGGTGATACGTTTGGTGATTCATTTATGCTAATTGGCTAATGTTAATGTGCTACCACCTTAAGAAAAATGGTGACAATGCAAGATTTGTTTGTTTGTTTGTGTGCTGTGTGTTCCATTTGACTTGTGTGCTATTAAGTTTCCATCCACCTGCTGTCGTAAGCATTTGCAAGTTGCACATAAAAGACCTAAGTGGAAATACAGAAAAAAAGTCCAAATATCACAAAAAAAATGTGTTAGTGGCAGATGAAGACATCAGATCTGTGTTGAGCGATGAGGAGACTGTGACCTTCCTAGAATTAATACATGAAACCAACTGAAAAGCAGTAGGAATCAAGGTAATTTGTCAATTTACAACAAAGGTTACTTCGTAAAATGTAAGTTGCAATGCCTTCAAGCTTCACACACAGAACATATATTCAAATATTTTCATTGACAATAAAATAAAACAATATATACATATTTACATATACAACAGTAAAGTCGCATAATCATCCTGTAGCCTAGTGCATTTTGAATTTGTAAATCTGGAATGTGAACAGCAGCAAACAGATAGTGTTGATAATACAGCACCCTAAGGTCCAAGCTGGGTTAGGTTAGCTCTTACATCTAACATCTACAGATGTTCTACCAGTCTGTAGTGGCCAGTGTCCTCTTCGTAGCGGTGGTCTGTTGGGGGGGAGGCATCGGCACTGGGGGTGCCAACAAGCTTAGCAAGCTGGTAAGGAAGGCCAGTTCGGTGGTGGAGATGGAGCTGGACAGTGTGGAGACTGTGACTGAGAAGAGGATGAGAGGGAGCTGAAAGCCATCATGGACAAGCCCTCTCATCCTCTCTACACTGACCTCAGGCAGCTCAGGAGCACGTTCAGCCACAGACTGACTCAGCCCCTCGTTTTCGTTCAGCCATCAGACTCCACAACGCCACAGCACACAGTACCAAAGACTGGTTTAAAACTCCTACCTCCAACGCACAAGCCTTTTGCACTATTTCTATTTAATTTCCACTTTAGTAGTTTAGTAGTTTTAGTTTTTTAGTTTTAGTCAAGTTTAATTTTCTGCTTATATTTTGCACTCCATGTCCTACTTGAACAATGCATAGTGTATATACTTTACTTTATAGTTTTATATCTTCTAATCAGAATCAGAATCAGAAAGACTTTAATAATCCCAGGGGGAAATTACTTTCGTTACAACTCCAAATCAACATACAACATATTTACAAGACACAGGGGCTGCCCTTTTTCAAACGGCCGTTTTGGTCCCCTGCTGTTTTTACCGTCCAAAAACAATGTTACGCTACAGTAAGCCGTCAAGTACTAGGACAAGCTGAAGCCTGTTTCCCTTAGTTTAGACTGCCCACAAGCTCCTCGATTGGCTCTGCCGTTTCTTGTGTGATTGGCCGTCCCCGCTGTCACTCCATCTTGCTTGCACACCAGTCTGAGAGGAGTTTCAGCGCACTGAGGAGGTTAAAGACCTGGCCTCGCAACTGCATGAAGCACAAACGCCTGAACAATGTGGCAGTTTGTCACATACACCGAGAAAGGCTTGATGCCTTGGACAGGAAGAAACTCTGCCAGGAATTTATCTCTGCCAATGATCGAAGACAACATGTGTTTGGAAGCTCTGGATGAGTTGATTATGTTGACCCTTCTGTGGTCTTTGGCTCAAATTGACCCTTGTTCACTTTTCATTTACATCAAAAAAAGGATTTTCTTCCATATAACTGCCTAAAAATGACAGTGGTTCTGTTACACTCATTTCAAATAAAATTGATTACTTGACTACTTACACTGAATTATGGACATTTTATTCAATTTCTCCCCTTCTGTGATATTCCTGCCAGTTTGACCTGCCCACCACTAGGTGGTGCTATGTAAATGAGGTCTCTTAACCATATATTCCAAAAATAAGTGTAAAATTGGTGGTACTGAGTTGGAGTGAAGTTGACTAACAAGGTGAAACACAGAATTGGGTGATGATGTTTTGCTACATGCTTTACAAGCAGTAAAAACCAAAAAAGGAACAGTAAACTTAAAAGTAGCAATAGAAAACTAGAAGAACTACTAGAAAACACAGTGAACTGAAAGAGTTAGAGTTTTATTAAAAATACTTGTGTCCCCCCCACCTCTGAAATCAAAATTTCGTCCTTGGATTGACCCATCTAAAAATATATATATTAGGTTGACCCCCCTGCCTGGTATATGCCCATATCTTTCAAACTCATGCACAGTTTGTAATGCTTTCTATTGGAGATAGGTGTAATATGTGTATAAAAAAATAACTTGAAATAAAGTAGAACAATTTTAAAGTACATTTGGAGTTAAAAGACACAGAAATTACAAAAAAAGGAAGTGTGTGTGTGTGTGTGTGTGTGTGTGTGTGTGTGTGTGTGTGCGTGTGCGTGTGTGTGTGTGTGTGTGCGTGTGCGTGTGCGTGTGCGTATGTGTGTGTGTGTGTGTGTGTGTCGAGGTCACTCACTGTATGTGGCACTCATATTGGGCATCAATATATGCCCTGTCTCCTTCTCGTAGGATTCATTTTAATTTTGAGTGGTCATATACATTGTTGAAATCTGGGATTACAGGATTTCATTTGTTCAAATGAATGTTTTACATTGTAGGACAGGAAGTGCATCTCTGTCTCAACATCACCTGTCCAACAGTGACCACATATTACTATATAAGTTTTCTTTTGGTTTCTACGTTGTTTGTGTCTTCCTTTTTCAATTTCCAGGTTGTGCTCACTGAGCCTGGACGTGGTTAGGATCTGTCTCTGCTGTCTCTCTCTGACAGTAGATATTCTGCCCATTCATAATCTCTTTTTAGGCTCAGAACTAATTACTAACTAACTAATAAAAGGCCAAGTCAACTGCCAAACATTTATTTTCCGTTTCTCTCTTAAAGCTAAAGTACTTGGTGCTCATGTTAATGCCACTGACAAATAAAGGAAGACACAAACAGAGAAAGAAATTACCATCCTTTAAAAACACCAATTTTCTGCTGCTCCTTTAATTTCAGAATAACTTCATGTTCATGCATTCCAGCATGAGGTCCAGTTCTCAGCTGTTTGTTTTTGAGAATTTCAAAGTAATGGTTCCAGTTTCCATCTCTGTCTGCTCCAAACCCAAAAACATTGACCTGGGAAAACAAACACACCATGAATCTCAGCTGGATTTGAATAAACGCTCCATAGAATTGTCTTTCTTATTTCTGCATACAGTACATTTCTGCATATTCTAACTTACATTTCATACTGTTATGGTGCTGCACTCCACAGTGTTACTAAAGAGAGATCTTTCCCAACCCTTAACAAAGTAGTTTTAATTCCCTAAAACTTAACTAAAAGTTATTCATGCTCATTCACACTTATCATGCAGCTGGAACCACGAGACGCTTAGCTTAGCATAGAGACTGGTAACAGGGAAATGGCTTGCTCCAGGGTGTGGCTCCAGGGCAGGGGTGGACTCGGACAATAATTCAGGCCGGGAATTTGCTACCATCCCAGGCCACCACCTCCTGATTAACGCAAAATACCAAGAGTGAGTTAGGTTTGGCGCCTACTGATGTAAGAGTGTAAAATAATAAAGCAAAGGCTCCACATGCGCCCACACACAGCTTTTTGTGTTTCTTTCCCCTACAAAATAAATGCAGGCTGCACATTTAACAGTGTAGTAGTAGATGAAATAAAATAGGTTACACCATCATCCACCTAAACTTGAGACCAATCCTATTTTTAATGTAACAGGTACCAGACTAGTTATAAATTTGACCGCTGTGTCAACCATAGTATCATACCACAAGTGAGAGGTACACAGGTGGCGCACTGCAGATGTGTAGGTTTATATGCATTGACTTATTATGTTGTGTCTATGTTAGTTAACCATATTCTAAAATTTGCAACATCCTTTGTTACAACTTAAAACATTTGTTTTATTAAGTCAGTTTTAGCCCCATCAGCTTCCACAAAGTGGAACTAACCTCCTCATGAAGCTAGTGGTGCTGGATAGGCTCTGGTTGTGCGTCTCTTGTCACCACTAGAGTTTAATGTGTTACCTACTCCCTTACTGACAAACATGTCAGTTATTTTACAGCACTTCGCTGCATCTGTGGTCAGTGCTTTTAGCTTTTTAAGCCTCTCCCTCTCTGCTCCACCTTTCCTCTTGGGCTGTCGATCTCGCTCCATTTTTCAAGCATATAGAACTACAGGTGAGGGAGGAGGGGGGCGGGGGCACAACTTGGTGTGTGTGTGTGTGTGTGTGTGTGTGTGTGCGTGCCTGCAGTACTGTGACAGAGAGCCTCAGAAAAAGAGAGGAGGGGGTGTGTTTGTGCCCAACGTTGCTGTTCAGTCTGTGTGAGCTTCAGTGAGGCAGATACCCTAATGAGCCGCACGACGGATTTCAAAATCAAGCGCGACCCGAACCGAGCCTTTGGTCCCGACCATCGGCAATCGCAGAGCGGGCCAGTTCGGCGGCTAGGCCACGGGGAAATATCCCGGTGCTCCCGATGGCCAGTCAGCCACTGCTCCAGGGTGTGGCTCCAGGGTGTGGCTGCAGGAAGGAGCCCTGGTTTCCCTTTTCCGGCCAAGGTGCTGCTACTCCTTCTTGGCCGCTGCACTGAATCGCTCTTTGTCTGGCCCCTGTGTCTGATATGTGAATTTTGTTTACCTTTGGACAAAGCCAAGCTAGCGGTTTCCCCATTTCCAGTCTTCATGCCAATCTAAGATAACCAGCTGCTGTCTCTGGCTACGTAACTACAGATGTGTAAGAGGATTTCCCAAAATGTCAAACTATTGCTGTAACCACAGCTGTAGCAGATCAGAAAATGAATGATGTGTGATGAACACAAACATATATGTTTACTTATAAAAGATTAGTAAAGATGACGTTTTAATATTTTAAAGCTACAGAAGATATTTTTATAAAAAATGTTTTTGTCATATTTGCTGAAACTTTCACTATACTGACAGTAGCAGACAGATAATCTGAGAAAAATACAAAAGATTAAGAAGCCACGGGTTCCTCTGGCTACGACGAGCCAGAGGAACCCGTGGCTTCTTAATCTTCAAGCCTCCAACCCAAAGCATCTTTATACTTTTCTCGGCTCTGATTGGTTGTTTTTGTTCAGGCCTGGTGGATTCTTGCAAATGCCATTAGGAGCACTAGAAGGAGCCAGAGGAACATGATTTTTTCACAAATTATCGGTCTCATACTGATGTCAGGATATAGTGAATGTTTAAACCAATGAGATAAAAAAGTTGTTTTTATAAAAGTTACCTACTGCAGCTTTAAGATTTGCATTTATATTTATTCATGGCCTAGCACTCTTCTTCTTCCTTGCCTTCACTGGTGCAGTTCTTGGTGTTTGACTGCCGCCAGATATCAGTAGGATAGCATTAAGCTGTTGGCACAATGTGTAATGTGAACTTACCTCATCACACATTTGCGTGCTGAGAGCCAAAGTCAGAAAGCCAGTGGATGGATAATTGCCCTTCTTTCCCAACCACATTTCATGAACATATTTCATGAAAGCTGGATTGAGGATCATCACCTGTTATGAATCAGACTTAAACTGACATTAATCTGACATTTATAAAACATTCCTTTCTCTATTAAATGCTCGATACAATACAAATTACTGGATGACTTGATACTCACCAAATCTTTGTTAGCTCTCCTCGCCTTGTTAGCATTGTTTTCCCTGTTGGAGGCAACATTAATTGTTAAATTTAGTAGAATGTGAACTGATTACCAAGTATTATTTGGTAAAAATGGTGTAAGACTACTTTACCTAGTCCAAATTAATTCTAATGCTGCCCTTAGTGTAAAGAAGCAATTTTATTCTAACACATTTGTCATATCAACTTTATAAGGTGATAATATGTCAATGTTCCATTCACAGATTACATGCCCTGCGCACACATTAACAAAAAAACTATGGCAAGAATTTTCTAAGTAAAAGTGGAAAGTATTAATTACTTAAACCAGGGTTCCAAACCGGGGGTCAGGACCCCCACTAGGGGTGGATAAAGGTTGTCTAAGAAAAAATACACTGTAGGCCTATATCATCTCAGCATTTTGTTTATTTCTGTGAAGGAAACTAAATGAAATTATTATTTTTAATGTTTCAATTATTATTTAAGATCCTGAACACAAGCTATATTCACTGAGCGTACAGTCTCTTCTAAACAACCTCGTCCCACTTTAGTAAATATTAAACTAATACAACAATGGCCAAGCATCAGGGAGAAGAAAATAGTCTATGAAGTATATATGATTAAATTATTGTTAAAAATGAAGGTTCATTAAATAGTTTATACCTCTGCCACAGCGTACAGTCACACACAAACACCATTTTCATTCATATTAGATGTATCACTGTGATCCTCTGTGAGCTGAGACCTACCCTGGATCGAAGGATTTGAGGAGCCACAGTAAATCATTGATCTTGAATGGAAACAGCACAAGATGTGTGGTGTTGTCCAGATTTATAGCACTCTCTGGATACATCACATGGTGTGTTGTTTTGTTCCCAACATCTGCTTCATAGCCTTTGGTACGGCCATGGTTCATTCTAAAAGATACAGGGGATACACATTTAATATCATGTAGTTGAAGAACAATAACATGGTGATTGAAGTTGAATTGAAGTTGCATGGAAATCCTGAATTAAGTGGCAGAATTTGGGGATTTAACTGAACACTGGTGATTTACCTTATTATGATATCATGAGAATCAATCAGAGGTCCATAATGTGATCCCTTCAAATTACCAGAATTCCCCACCACAGCACAAGTCCTGCAGCGGTCAGGGCTGGGTCCTACAACATCTGGAATGGGTGGGAAAATCTGAAACAGCCTGTCCACTGTTGTCTTGTAGAAATCGAAGTTACGTCCTTCATTCTGGATGTGCTGACACACATAACAGAAAATTCAGTCCTTCATTTATTCCAGCATCAGTTTGCAATTAAAGTGAGTTGTAGTATGTAAGCTACAATACACAATACAAGATGCAATTCATAATAGGGATGTCCCGATCCCATCATAGTCATGTAATGTTGAGTATCTGCTGATACAGAGTCCCGATCCAATCCAGTATTATTTTTAAATTATACAGTGCACAGTTTAAGTATATTAAAGCTACTCAAACCAATCCAGTGCTTGACAATTGAATAGCTCTGTATTGCATTAATGCACTGTTTGTTTTACTTTCATATTCGAGTATAAAATAACAAACTCTCATCGTTGCAGCCTCTGTATTCTACTCAGTGATCTTTTGCGCAAATTACATATATTAATTACTCTTATTAGGTTTTTGTTCGCAGCACCTTTGTTGGACTTGCAGTGTGGTGTTGAGAGTGGTTGTGTATCTCTACTGCTCTCTCCCCTGAGCAGGAGGAGCTGCTCTCTAACACACACACACACACACACGGCCGTACGTGCTCCACTAGGTGAGCTACTGTGAGGTCCATGCATGGTTTTTGTGCATACACATTGTTTATACATCTGGCCCCAGCTCACGAGGAATATATGCAACTCTTTAGCTGTATTTGCTCCACTAGGAGCAGATAGTGTACAGAGTGTACTTTTTAACCACAAGCAGCAATATCGATATCAAAGATTATAGACACTTTAAATGTGACTGCAGAAATTTGTTGGCACACGCAGTTGATTATTGTTGTTTTCCACTTCATTTTTATGTGATTGGCAACATTGTTTTAATTTGAACTTTTTTCACACGTTTTATATGCTACAATGGATTTTTACTGCTATTTTATCTTCCTATGCATCAAAGGGTTGTTTTGTTTCCTGACACTATACAGGTTCTTCTTGGGGTATAAAGGAACAGAAAAAGTGCAGAAAACACCAAAAACAGTCAGAGTCTCTAAAATTATCAACACTGAAATTATGTGTGTAAAGATAAGTTGATATTTACCTTCCACCAAATGAAATCATCCTCTGAGCTTGTATAGTTTCTTGACAAAAAGGGTGTTGGAGAAGAATTGATGAGCTCCCTAAACCATGGATCACTCTCTGTTAAACATTTGTGACAGGCACAAAGACCTGAATTCTCAGGGCCGAGGTAATGTAAAGACATATCCCATGAATATCTAGATAACACACCAATGGCAGTGATACACAGTAGGTAAATGAGAACTTGGGTGTTGCCTAATCTGGGAACCATCTTGGCAGCGTTTTGAATGAAGAGCAGATTCTGTTGATACAAAATGTGATGAAACACACAGGTGAGTCAATATATGGAAAACGTGTTATGAACAACATTAAAAGAAATGACTGTCACTTTAATATGCAACCACTCCTAGTTTGGCAGGTGCCCTCAGGCAGTGGTAGATAAATATAGACAACACAATGAAAACATAAATGCCACCTGTTTGTTTGGCGGCCATCAGTATTTAAAAAATCTTCAAAGTAGTTGTCTGTATAGTGGAATAATATTTGAGACTTTGGTCAAACTGGTTATATGACTCTGAAAGAGGATAATAAAGGAGTAACATAACAATTAAATTAATAAAAGGATTAAGTGATGCAGTGTATCAGGATACGTTTCTGTTCTCTGGACTTATTTGTGTCCAAACTCAACATTGTATAGAATGTGTTTTTTCTTTGAAGAAGAACAGTTTAAACTGACTAACTAAACAGGGAATAAAATAAAAAGAAAAAAAAAGGAAACAGGAAATGCAATTTAATAAACCTTACAAGGAAATTATCTTTACTTTAGTTTAACTTTAGGTCCTGCTGCCATGCTGTACTACAAGCAAGAGAAAAATCATATAAAAAACATAAGTAGTTTAAGAGGTAACATAAGGCACATTTTGAGACAAGAGCAAGAATATTTAATATTAATATTTACCATATTAGTAAATTAACATAAATGGTTTTTTTTAAAGCTTTCTTCTTACCTTCAGTAGTTTCTTGGATAAAAAATACATTACATAATACAATATTATGCCAGACAACAGCATAGAAAGAACTAAAGCCACAGTTACTGGCTGGGTTGAGTATCATTCATAGACAAAATCATTTGCACTTTGTATTTCAGCATTCATCCCATTAAAAAGCTACACTCTGTCACTGTATACCAAGTTATACATTTAATCTCACAATCAATTGAAATGTGTTTAAGATATAAATATAGGTATATATATTATCTTACCGAGAGAAAGGGGTGAGGCAACTGAGGAAGAGATTGCTGCCGTTGAACAACTGGTGAAATGTTGAGATACAATCGTGGCACTGGCAGAACGGGAAAGGACGACAGTAGGTGTGTTTGGTTAAACAAAGGCACACAGTTGAATATTTATGGTCACTGGATGAGTTAACATCCTGTTTTTCTAGCATTATGGTTCAGTAGACTTGTGTTTTGTTGGCCCCTATAACTCAGTTAATTCAGTTGCCTTCAGTAATTTGTTTTATTTAATCTTTTTGGGAAAATAAACCCAACTTTTGAACTTTAAACAAATGTTATTGACAGTGTAAAGACTTTACTACTATTTTGATCTAATTTTTTTTTTTTTTTTTGATTGTATATTATGTACCCGGTTCTACTTTGAATAGCAAATTCCAAGGGCAAGGTAGGTGATACAAGTGTGTGTGCACCTGCTATTTTGATTCTATTATTCCGTGAATGTTCACCAGCATGCTAAAACATGCAGAACGGCAGAGTGAAGATAATTATAGAGCATAGTCGAATAGGGGTGGTTATTATTAAATAAAGACATTGCTTATACGGTCATATCGGATGGATGGTCTTAATAATTCAAATGTATAGCTCACCTTATACATGGTAATTAATGTAACACAACAGTGTTTGCACTACATGTGATTCACGGATAAAACATGGGACATTATTTCTGCCAAAAAGAAAGATGGAAGAGGCTATAATGAGACCTGATAACTGGATGTTATCTTCATAAAAAGCAGAGTATCAAGTTATATCCAACCAGTCTGATGGATCTAGAGGTCTAAGCCTGCTGTTGTTTTCAGGCGATTTAATGAAGTTAAACACAGCGAACGGTCATGTGTAATGACACTGCGCTCTGGTGCAGCATTTACAACGTAACATATCAGTCCATGCCTTCAAATGCTGCAGGGATTTCATGAACTGAATGAGAAACTTTTCATACAGAAAAAGTTTGGATCAATGCCTTTGAACTACACAGCTACTAATATCTTGGTTTTATTTTTTATGAAAATATGAGATTTTTCAAAACAAGATTTAATGCTGGGCTCAGTTTTATTTTATGCCGCTGGAGCTAGGGCATAACCAGGGGCTAGGGGATAATTTGTTGAGGTTGAGCAGTTGCCAGCTGAAAGTGAAATGTATGGAGCTATTACTGTAGCAAAAGTATTTACAAATGAGAGTGGAGAGTTGTGTAACTGTATCTCAATCCTTGTGTGCATGATCAGATTTGTAAATGTGTAAAAAAAAAAATCAACAAATCTGTATTCAGATTGCGGGCTGGATTATTTTATATTTTCGACATCATGTCGTGGAACGGAGGGAGGGTGATGGTGGGCAGAAACGGCCCACCAGCCAGCAGTTTGACACCCCTGCTCTATACAGATGATCAGATCAATACTCCATTTATTACTTTAGGAGGAGATTTATCAGGTTATTGTCAATCTGGGAAAATATGATGTAACAAATTTAAAAACACCAATGTTCTGCTGCTCCTTTAATTTCAGAATAACTTCATGTTCATGCATTCCAGCATGAGGTCCAGTTCTCAGCTGTTTGTTTTTGAGAATTTCAAAGTAATGGTTCCAGTTTCCATCTCTGTCTGCTCCAAACCCAAAAACATTGACCTGGGAAAACAAACACACCATGAATCTCAGCTGGATTTGAATAAACGCTCCATAGAATTGTCTTTCTTATTTCTGCATACAGTACATTTCTGCATATTCTAACTTACATTTCATACTGTTATGGTGCTGCACTCCACAGTGTTACTAAATAGGGTTTCTGAACACATCCAGATAAGCTGGGTAGAGTTAAAATGATTTGTTCTCTCTCACAAGCAAAGGCAGCCATTTTATAAAGTTCAATTTGAAAAAAAATGTAAATGTGAGAAGTACTGACGACAGCAGACGTTACATTGTTTCCTTTGTGCCAGGATGTGTTGCTATGTTATGGTTCTTTCACATGCTCAGATAAAACCCTATCAAAATGAAAGATTCCATGTCAAAGTGTTGTCAATGAGTATGCTGGCATGAAACCTTTGCTAGCCAACTGAAACTGATGTTATCATGATTCTTTTGTTTGCAGGATAGAAGGTGCCTTTTATGAACACAGCACTCCTGTCAATGTAATGCAAGGTGTTGGACATAAAGTAACCTAAAATAAAATCAAATATGTGGAAGGTGTGATTGAGATGTAAATTGAGAAGCTAGAAAAACATTCAAGTTAATGGGTTTACAGTTTTAGAATCATATATAGCTTGATATTGATTTGGGGACAAGGACATGGCTGGATAGCTAGCTTGTATTGTTAAACATACTGTCAAATTATATTTACCGTTTGTCAATTGTTGTTATTCCCTTTTAATCTAGCTAGCATAGCGTTAGCTCTGTGTCTCGTAGCTGAGCCAAAGTGTTCTACAAACAGAGGGAACTAGAAATATCTCCCATTGCCAAGTCATATCTAAGGCTCATCCTATTGACTGGAGTAGTGAATAACGTTTGCATTGCATTAGAACCTTATGGGATGGTAATGATTCTTCCAGGTATTAGGTAGGAACTCAGGTGTTACCAGGGAAATGAAGTTATGGCTAGTAAAAAAGTTTAGATTTCAATTGCAAAATGCATGAAAATATAAAATATTGATCTTCCTTTTCTTTCTTTGGCAAGTGACCATTGTATAAGTGGGATAATGCCCTTCGAGGTGTCTATTATCAGGAATTAATGGACTTCCCTGAAGCGGAGATTCTGGCCTTCATTCCTGATAATGGACACCTTCCGGGTATTATTTCTTACTTATCTGACATGAGTTTGTTCAATACAGATTTGTTCCCTCACCATATTTGGTTACACTGCATTTTCATCATCCCACAACTTTAGTCCACACTGAGATATCTCAACAGCTATCAGATGGGTTGCCATGACGTTTTAGTACAGAAGACGCATCAAGTGTGCACACCCAGGCCAAAATATTACTGCAAGACACAAAAGAGAAAAAGTCTGTACACTGAGGGGGTCCAAATGATTATTTTTATTCCCTTTTTATAAAGCAACGTTTCAATCTGCAAGATCTCATTCAGACAAATGTCAAAAGAAAACAGACATTGCTTGAAGAGGCACATCAGTCGAGTTTTACAATGAATATACTGCCTCGCCTGCAACAACTCCAGGTTTCTGAGAAGATATGGAGAAAGTTAGCTAACAATGATATTATTGGTTTGTTTTGTTTTTTAACCAAAATATTAATATAGGGCATATATTTTGCATCTGATTCAAACTATAAACACAATGTATGGTCAGTGACTACATATTACTATATAAGTTTTCTTTTGGTTTCCATGGTTTTTTGTGTCTTCCCTTTTCAATTTCCAGGTTGTGCTCACTGAGCCTGGACTTGGTTAGGATCTGTCTCTGCTGTCTCTCTCTGACAGTAGATATTCTGCCCATTCATAATCTCTTTTTAGGCTCAGAACTAATTACTAACTAACTAATAAAAGGCCAAGTCAACTGCCAAACATTTATCTTCCGTTTCTCTCTTAAAGCTAAAGTACTTGGTGCTCATGTTAATGCCACTGACAAATAAAGGAAGACACAAACAGAGAAAGAAATTACCATCCTCTAAAAACACCAATTTTCTGCTGCTCCTTTAATTTCAGAATAACTTCATGTTCATGCATTCCAGCATGAGGTCCAGTTCTCAGCTGTTTGTTTTTGAGAATTTCAAAGTAATGGTTCCAGTTTCCATCTCTGTCTGCTCCAAACCCAAAAACATTGACCTGGGAAAACAAACACACCATGAATCTCAGCTGGATTTGAATAAACGCTCCATAGAATTGTCTTTCTTATTTCTGCATACAGTACATTTCTGCATATTCTAACTTACATTTCATACTGTTATGGTGCTGCACTCCACAGTGTTACTAAATAGGGTTTCTGAACACATCCAGATAAGCTGGGTAGAGTTAAAATGATTTGTTCTCTCTCACAAGCAAAGGCAGCCATTTTATAAAGTTCAATTTGAAAAAAAATGTAAATGTGAGAAGTACTGACGACAGCAGACGTTACATTGTTTCTTTTGTGCCAGGATGTGTTGCTATGTTATGGTTCTTTCACATGCTCAGATAAAACCCTATCAAAATGAAAGATTCCATGTCAAAGTGTTGTCAATGAGTATGCTGGCATGAAACCTTTGCTAGCAAACTGAAACTGATGTTATCATGATTCTTTTGTTTGCAGGATAGAAGGTGCCTTTTATGAACACAGCACTCCTGTCAATGTAATGCAAGGTGTTGGACATAAAGTAACCTAAAATAAAATCAAATATGTGGAAGGTGTGATTGAGATGTAAATTGAGAAGCTAGAAAAAATTCAAGTTAATGGGTTTACAGTTTTAGAATCATATATAGCTTGATATTGATTTGGGGACAAGGACATGGCTGGATAGCTAGCTTGTATTGTTAAACATACTGTCAAATTATATTTACCGTTTGTCAATTGTTGTTATTCCCTTTTAATCTAGCTAGCATAGCGTTAGCTCTGTGTCTCGTAGCTGAGCCAAAGTGTTCTACAAACAGAGGGAACTAGAAATATCTCCCATTGCCAAGTCATATCTAAGGCTCATCCTATTGACTGGAGTAGTGAATAACGTTTGCATTGCATTAGAACCTTATGGGATGGTAATGATTCTTCCAGGTATTAGGTAGGAACTCAGGTGTTACCAGGGAAATGAAGTTATGGCTAGTAAAAAAGTTTAGATTTCAATTGCAAAATGCATGAAAATATAAAATATTGATCTTCCTTTTCTTTCTTTGGCAAGTGACCATTGTATAAGTGGGATAATGCCCTTCGAGGTGTCTATTATCAGGAATTAATGGACTTCCCTGAAGCGGAGATTCTGGCCTTCATTCCTGATAATGGACACCTTCCCGGGTATTATTTCTTACTTATCTGACATGAGTTTGTTCAATACAGATTTGTTCCCTCACCATATTTGGGTACAGTGAATTTTCATCATCCCACAACTTTAGTCCACACTGAGATATCTCAACAGCTATCAGATGGGTTGCCATGACGTTTTAGTACAGAAGACGCATCAAGTGTGTGCACACCCAGGCAAAAATATTACTGCAAGACACAAAAGAGAAAAAGTCTGTACACTGAGGGGGTCCAAATGATTATTTTTATTCCCTTTTTATAAAGCAACGTTTCAATCTGCAAGATCTCATTCAGATAATGAGAAACTTTAAATAAACATTATTTTACCAAGTCAAAATATTGAGATACTAAGTCATTATTTTGAAAAAAAATTTGAATTATATTGAGTTAAAGAATCCTTTTTTTCTGTCACATTGTCTTCCATAAGAAAAAGCAAAGTTGTTATAATACAGCAAAACTCTCAGACATACTGTCTGACTATAACACCTTTGCTATCCCGTCCATGTTAGAGAAAAGTATTTTTAATTCCGTAAACTTAATTAAAAGTTATTTACCCTTATTCACAGTTATCATGCAGCTGGAACCACGAGACGCACAGCTAGCATAGAGACTGGTAACAGGGAAACAGCTTGCTCCATGGTGTGGCTCCAGGGTGTGGCTCCAGGAGGGAGCCCTGGTTTCCCTTTTCTGGCCAAGGTGCTGCTACTCCTTCTTGGCCGCTGCACTGAATCGCTCTTTGTCTGGCCCCTGTGTCTGATATGTGAATTTTGTTTACCTTTCGACAAAGCCAAGCTAGCTGTTTCCCCATGTCCAGTCTTCATGCCAGTCTAAGATAACCAGCTGCTGTCTCTGGCTGTGTAATTACAGATGTGAGTGTGGTACTGATCTGATCGGATTTCCCAAAATGTCAAACTATTGCTGTAACCACAGCTGTAGCAGATCAGAAAATGCATGACGTGTGATGAACACAAACATATATGTTTACTTATAAAAGATTAGCAAAGATGACATTTTAATATGTTTTTTTCATATTTGCTGAAACTTTCACTATACTGACAGTAGTAGACAGATAATCTGAGTCGTAGCGCTCCTTATGGGATTTGCAAGGAAACAGCAGACATGAACAAAAGCAATCAATCAGAGCCAAGAAAGATAGTTTCTTATCAGATTATCTGTCATGATATAGTGAAGTTTCAGCAAATATCACACAAAGTTATTTTATAAAAGTTACCTACTGCAGCTTTAAGATTTGCATTTATATTTATTCATGGCCTAGCACTCTTCTTCTTCCTTGCCTTCACTGGTGCAGTTCTTGGTGTTTGACTGCCACCAGATATCAGTAGGATAGCATTAAGCTGTTGGCACAATGTGTAATGTGAACCTACCTCATCACATATTTGCATGCTGAGAGCCAAAGTGAGAAAGCCAGTGGATGGATAATTGCCCTTCTTTCTGAACCACATTTAATGAACATATTTCATGAAAGCTGGATTGAGGATCATCACCTGTTATGAATCAGATTTAGACTGACATTAATCTGACATTTATAAAACATTCCTTTCTCTATTAAATGCTCGATACAATACAATCACTGGATGACTTGATACTCACCAAATCTGTGTTAGCTCTACTTGCCTTGTTAGCACTGTTTTCCCTGTTGGAGGCAACATTAATTGTTAAATTTAGTAGAATGTGAACTGATTACCAAGTATTATTTGGTAAAAATGGTGTGAGCCTACTTTACCTACTCCAAATTAATTCTAATGCTGCCCTTAGTGTAAAGAAGCAATTTTATTCTAACACATTTGTCATATCAACTTTATAAGGTGATAATATGTCAATGTTCCATTCATAGATTACATGCCCTGCGCACACATTAACAAAAAAAAAAACTATAGCAAGAATTTTCTAAGTAAAAGTGGAAAGCTACACGGTAGGCCTATATCATCTCCGCATTTTTTTTATTTCTGTGACGAAAACTAAATGAAATTGTTATTTTTAATGTTTCAATTATTATTTAAGATCCTGAACACAAGCTATATACACTGAGCGTACAGTCTCTTCTAAACAACCTCGTCCCACTTTAGTAAATATTAAACTAATACAACAATGGCCAAGCATTAGGGAGAAGAAAATGTAGTCTATGAAGTATATATGATTAAATTATTGTTAAAAATGAAGGTTCATTGAATAGTTTATACCTCTGCCACAGCGTACAGTCACACACAAACACCATTTTCATTCATATTAGATGTATCACTGTGATCCTCTGTGAGCTGAGACCTACCCTGGATCGAAGGATTTGAGGAGCCACAGCAAATCAGTGATCTTGAATGGAAACAGCACAAGATGTGTGGTGTTGTCCAGATTTATAGCACTCTCTGGATACATCACATGGTGTGTTGTTTTGTTCCCAACATCTGCTTCATAGCCTTTGGTACGGCCATGGTTCATTCTAAAAGATACAGGGGATACACATTTAATATCATGTAGTTGAAGAACAATAACATGGTGATTGAAGTTGAATTGAAGTTGCATGGAAATCCTGAATAAAAATGCTGCTGACCCTATGTATGTGGCAGAATTGTGGCTCTACTAGATTTTTCTACTACACAAAATAAAGTTCCTCAGAATTTGTCTCAGTGTCAACATCATTGTCCAAACTAGATACTCAGGGATTTAACTGAACACTGGTGATTTACCTTATTATGATATCATGAGAATCAATCAGAGGTCCATAATGTGATCCCTTCAAATTACCAGAATTCCCCACCACAGCACAAGTCCTGCAGCGGTCAGGGCTGGGTCCTACAACATCTGGAATGGGTGGGAAAATCTGAAACAGCCTGTCCACTCTTGTCTTGTAGAAATCGAAATTACATCTTTCATTCTGGATGTGCTGACACACATAACAGAAAATTCAGTCCTTCATTCATTCCAGCATCAGTTTGCAATTAAAGTGAGTTGTAGTATGTAAGCTACAATACACAATACAAGATGCAATTCATAATAGGGATGTCCCGATCCCATCCAAGTCATGTAATGCTTTAGATAATACAGTGCACAGTTTAAGTATATTATTTTTTTTTATGAATCTTTTTATTGGAGGATTAAGGATGTTACATTTTACAGGAAGTGAAATAGTTCTCCAGTTTCATTTTATCTTAGACAAATATATACAACCCCCCCCAAAAAATAAATAAATAAATAAAAAATAAAAAAAAATAAAAAAAAGGAACGACAACATTGCTTAGTAATACCCCCCTCCCAACACAAATGTCCCACCCTTCCATATTTGACAGCATTCTGGGAAAACAGCTTTTTTTTTTTCCTCCCCATTTTGTTTGTTACACAGTTCTTCAGAACAGTTTAAGGATCTACACACTGAGAACAAGCACACAACTGCATGCCCACATTTCGCCACCAGTTGGTTAACAAAGCTTTAAACTCACAGTTTCACAATTGTAAGTCAGGCTACTCATTTCCCACCACATCAAGGTAGTTGACCATTGATTTGAATAAACATACATAAAAAAAATAAATAAAAAGGAACAGAGAGAAAAAGAAGTGGAATTTAAAATAAAAAGGTGTCTCATACTTCAGGCAATACTTTAAGATTCTCAAAATATGTCACAAAGGGTTGCCATTTTAAGTAAAATTTCTGGACTGACCCTTTCAATGTGAATTTAACTTTTTCTAGTTTAAGAAAAAATAAAACACCCCTTAACCATGCGGCCACCGCTGGTGGATTAGCGGATGACCAAACCAATAGGATTCTACGACGGGCAAGAAGTGATGTAAAAGCAATAATGTCTGATTGGTTTCGGGTTAAAGTTAAACTCTCCTTTGAAATACCAAATATTGCAATCAACGGACAGGGCTTAATTTGAATTTTTATGACTTTGGATAAAGTTTGAAAAATAGATGACCAATAATGATTTAGACGGGGACACAACCAAAACGTATGTGTTAAATCAGCTGGGGAGAGGGAGCATCTATTACAACTCCCGTCCATTCCTGGATATATATCTGCTAACCTAGCCCTACTGAAATGAGCCCTATGCACTACTTTAAACTGAATGAGCCCCAAGCGTGCACAGGATGAGGATGAGTTAATCCTTTGTAGTGCATCCTCCCAGTGTCTGTCCGACAACTCAACCATCAACTCACCTTCCCACTTGTTCTTGATTTTTGAAAGGTCATGGTTTTCCAGAGACATTAGTTGAGAATATAACTGTGATATCAGTCCCTTTTTTGGAAAGAGGAGGGTCATTTCTTCCCATGCTGCCTCAGTAGGGAGGACCGGGAAAGAAGGGAACAGTGTTTTGGCACAGTGGCGTATTTGGAGATATCTAAAAAAATTACTGCGTGAAAGATCATATTTCTGGCATACATTATCAAAACTCTCGAACCCGTCTTTACAGTACAAGCTTTTAAAACAGGAAAGCTGCTTCCTGCCCCACTGAGTAAATGTTAAGTCAAGAGAGGAGGCTGGAAATAAATGATTCTTACAAATAGGGCCTAGGGGGGAGGGAGAGGTGAATTTGTAGTGATTTCGGAATTGGGCCCAGATTTTAAGGGTGGATAGTACTATGGGATTGGAGGTAAACCTGGACCACTTTGTGGGCAGGGAGGAGTACACCAAAGCAGGGAGGGATGACGAGTGGCAAGAGTGTGCTTCAAGTGTACACCAATCGGTGTCTGGCACATGGAGCCAGAATAAAATTTTCTGCAAATTAGCTGCCCAATAATAGTGAATAAAACTGGGGAGAGCTAGTCCCCCCACATCACGTCCCCTCTGAAGTAAGCCTTTGTTAACTCTTGGAACTTTATTCTTCCAGATGAAGGAGGTAATGGATGTGTTAACTGATTGAAAAAATAATTTTGTCAGGAATAACGGTAGACATTGAAACAAGTACAAATACTTTGGGAGTACGTTCATCTTCACCGATTGTACCCGCCCTGCAATAGTCAGAGGTAGACTGCTCCACCTTTGAAAGTCAGCTTTCGTTTGGTTAACTAGGGGTGTAAAATTAGCTCCAAGAAGAGAGGTGAAGGAACGCGTAATGTTTATTCCAAGATATTTGAAACCAGAATGTGTTAAGTGGAAGGGGATTGCTTCTTGTTTAATTTGCATTGCCCAATCATTAATGGGGAAGCATTCGCTTTTTTGATAATTAAGTTTGTAGCCGGAAAAAGACCCAAAATTGTTTAATAGTGATACAATTACAGGGGCACTAGTTTCTGGATTGCTTACATAGATCAAGAGATCGTCTGCATACAAAGAGACGCGATGTTCCTCCGTCCCACGCTCAACCCCCTGTAACAACAACGACGACTTCAATGCAATCGAAAGAGGCTCAATTGCCACCGCAAACAGAAGCGGGGATAGTGGACATCCTTGACGTGTCCCACGTGACAGGGGGAAAAATTTGGAATGAGATTGATTAGTTTGAATACATGCTTGTGGGGACGAATAGAGCAGACGAATCCATGCCAGAAACGTGTCACCAAACCCAAACCTTTCCAATACGGCAAACAAGTATTTCCACTCCACCCGGTCAAAGGCCTTCTCCGCGTCCAGAGAGATTACAGCTTCTGGAATCGAGGAGGGACCGGGGGAGTAGATCACGTTAGTAAGTCGGCGAATATTTGAAAAAGAGTGGCGACCCTTTATAAAACCAGTCTGGTCCTCAGAGATTATTTTAGGGAGAATAGATTCTAAACGATGTGCCATCACCTTGGCTAAAATTTTTATATCAACATTTAGGAGGGAGATAGGACGGTAAGAGCCACAGTTAGAAGGGTCCTTGTCCTTTTTGAGGAGTAGTGTAATCTTAGCTTGTGTGAGGGTTGGGGGCAAGGAACCGTTTGCCAATGATTCGTTAAATACTTCTAGCATAATAGGTGCAAGTTTAACTTTAAATTTCTTAAAAAATTCAGGGGGGTAACCGTCAGGTCCTGGAGATTTACCAGTTCGCATGTCTTTGATGGCTGTAGTGATCTCTGACTGTGTAAGAGGTCGGTCTAACCCTTCCCTGTCTCCAGGCTCAATAGTAGGTAATTCTAAATTATCAAAGAAACTGTTCATATTCGTAACATCTGATGGGAATTCAGACGTGTAAAGTGTAGAGTAAAATGTTGCAAAAGCATTATTGATTTCCTTTGGGTTGGTGACTATATTTTGATCCTGATCTCTCACTTGGGGTATAAGCCGTGAAGCAGCCTGACGTTTCAGCTGGTGAGCCAGCAATCGACTAGCTTTTTCTCCGTACTCATAGTAAGTGCTCCGGGTCCGCAGTAATAAGTATTCAGCCTGGTTGGTGGATAGAAGATTTAGCCTAGACCGCAAAGCTATCCGTTCTTTATATAATTCTGGGGAGGGGCTTTCAGAGTATTTGCGGTCCAAATTAAAAATCAAATCCGTCAGGTCTTGTATTTGTTTGCGGCGTTCCTTATTGACATGTGCTACATAGGAGATAATTTGTCCTCTTAAGTACGCTTTTAAGGTTTCCCAAAGTAGGGAATATGAAATATCTTCCTTCTTGTTTACTTCCAGAAAAGTATCTATATTAGTAGCCACATGTTCGCAAAATTTCTCATTTGAAAGCAGCAGGGAGTTAAGTCTCCAGAAGGATTGCTCTCTAACGTTCAAAGTGAAAGAAAGGTCTAAGATGAGTGGTGCATGATCTGAAATGATGATGGCCAAGTATTCAACCAATTCCACTACAGGGATGAAAGAGCTATCTATAAAAAAGTAATCTATCCTTGAGAAAGAGTGGTGTACATGAGAAAAGAAAGAAAATTGTTTGGAGGTCGGATTTTGAAACCTCCATGGGTCTACACAGCCATTTTGTCTCATAAAGTCTGAGAAGACCTTTGACATTACAGAAGGTGAGGCAGATTTGGGGCTAGATTTATCGAGCAATGGGTCGATTGTACAATTAAGATCACCTGCAAGGATCAATCTATGTGTATCTAAATAAGGAAGGGATGACAGGAGCTTATTGGCAAATTCAGCATTGTCCCAGTTAGGGGCATACACATTTACCAAAAGAACGGGTGTTTGAAATAGGAGGCCCGTGACAATGACATATCGACCATTGGGGTCTGCAATTATTGCATTTAGTGAGAATTGAATTCGTTTATTAATCAAAATTGCCACCCCTCGTGATCTGTTAGTAAATTTGGAATGGAAGATATGATTAACCCATGCTTTACAGAGTCTGGTGTGATCTTCTAACCGTAAATGTGTCTCCTGCAAAAACAAAACATCAGTTTTCAATTGTTTAAGATGGGAAAAAATCCTAGAACGTTTCACAGGACCGTTCATCCCCTTAACATTCCAGGACACAAACCTAACTGCAGCTCCCCCTGTTGGGCTTGTACCACCTGCATTATTTATCATAGGAGACATCCAAAATGTGTATGATTAGCCTGAACCACATTATGGAAGTGTATTTATGGTCATAAGTGATGTCAACACACACCGTGTGCAGTTGTATAGGAGTGAAATAAAATTGTAATAATAATGAAATAAAAATACAGTTTAACATAGTTGTGTGCATCCTTAGAAGATAAAGTGTTGCCGTGTAAATAAAATGTTGCCCAGTTCTCATGAAACTTAAGTTGGAATAGAAGAGAGAGAAAAAAACCCTCAAAAAAAAAAAACACAAAAAAAAAAAAAAAAAAAAAAAAAAAAACACCTTGAACACCCCAAACCTAGATCTTCTTCCCCAAACGAAGAAAACCGCAGGAATTCCCAGATGGAAAACTTCCAAGACATCCAGCGTTGTCTATAACTCCTATCCTAACCTGAGGGTGGCTCCCCTCTCAGTGAGTGATTTGTGTTCTACCTATATATAATCATCTATTCGGCTCACCTTGAGAAAAAAGAAAAAAGGGACCAAAGTAAATCAATAAATAACATTGAAAGTAATAGGATCTGTCCCTGATTTGCATCTGGATCACCAGTGCTCACTGTGCAATTATACAGAGCACGATTGGACTGATAAAAGTATGTAAAATAAATCGAAGTGGCTGGCCTAGTTAAAATAAAATGTATCCAGTTCTCTTGGGACAGATATTGTCACTTAATTTACCTTACTAAAATTGCCCAGTCTGAGAAATGGCCATATGCAGAGTTATGTGTGAAAGCCACACTAACTAAAACAACCAAAGCAAAACATAGGTGTTGTATATTTAAATCACACAGGCCACAGCGTTGTTATTGTACCATAAACATGTATGAAGACCACATTAACGTAAATATTACCGTGTAGGCCTGTAGTTTATTTGAAAAAGGAAAAAAGAAAAAAATGTTCTTGTTATTTTCCCCTATATATTAACCAAGCAAACATATAGTCCCAAGGAATCAAAGTGTCTAAGCCGAAAGCTAAGCTTACTTTCACCTTCTCATGGATGATCCATGCTCAGCATCGTTTACTGTCCCCAGTGAAACTCGTAAAACTTCCTGGCCTTCTCCGGGGTCTCGAAGAACAGCGTCTGTCCGTCATGAAGGATGCGGAGCCGGGCAGGGTAGATAAGAGCGAACCTGACGCTCTTCTTGTACAGGAGAGATTTCACTTCTTTAAAGGCAGCTTGTTTCTTGCCGAGTTCCGCGCTGACATCCTCGTGGAAAAATATCTTATGTCCCCTGAAGAACAGCTGCTCTCGTTTCCTCGTTATTATGCGGTGTTTGTTTTGGAAGGTGTGGAAGAGAACGAGGAATATCCTCGGCCGTTTGGAGCTAGCGCCGGAGTCGGCGGTCGGCTTGGGTCCCACTCGGTGCGCGCGGGAGATAATGAGGGGATGCGGGAAGAATTCTTTACCCAGGACTTCCTCGAAAAATTCAGTCATGAACTTAACTGTGTCCGGGCCCTCCAGATGCTCCGGGATGCCGACAACTCGCAGGTTGGACCTACGGGAGCGATTTTCTAAGTCCTCCACTTTGTTTTTCAGCCTATCGTTCTCAGCTAGAAGTGCGGTGCATTTTGTTTCAATAGCCTCGATCCTGTCGCTGTGGTCGTTTAGCCCTTCCTCCATGTCATGGATACGTTCTTCGTGGGAGTCAAGAGACGATTTTACCTGTTCCAGGGATGCTGAAATTGGTGCCAGTGCCTCGCCGAGAGCTTTTTTCAGGAGGGAGTCCGTTTGCTGTGCGAGGTCGGACAGAAGCACCGAGTGAAGCTTAGCAAGATCAGCAGGTAACTCTGAGCTTGGGCTAGCTTGCGTAGCCATGTTGTCTTCACTTGTAGCATCTTCGTCCATCTCGGTCGTTTTTTGCCCTCAGTCACGTCTCTTTGGTCCCATTTAGTTGTGCAAAGTTATTTCTTAATGTAGACGTAGTCAACTCAAGGTGCGCCAAACTTTATGCCGAAAACATGAGGTAGAAAATAAAAAGTAATTCGGGAGCCACTTCTCACACGTCTGCTCGCTACATGCTCAAACCGGAAGTCAGTTTAAGTATATTACAGCTACTCAAACCAATCCAGTGCTTGACAATTGAATAGCTCTGTATTGCAGTAATGCACTTTGTTTTTTTACCTTCATAATAGAGTATAAAATAACAAACCCTCGTCGTTGCAGCCTTTGCCTGAGGTACCTGAATGAACTGTCTGTATTCTGCTCAGTGATCTTTTGAGCAGATCACATTTATTCTTGTGCCTTGAAAAGCACAATACTACTCTTCCCCATACTTATTATTATTCTGCCGTACGTTTTCGGCGCGCTACTCCTCCCGCAGTTTTGGTCGTGTGGCGGGGGTTGCGAACAAAAATGAATGGAGCTCTCAATGGGAATTTTAGGTTGCACGACAACGCCACCTTGGGAATTGCACCCAAGGAATTATTTTACACTGACCAAAAACACAGGTTCGTTCCACTCGACAGGCAAGACACGTGGTTCCCAGTTTACAAAAATACTTTATTTAATAAATATATATATCATTATAAAAAAATAGCATTCATCCCAATAAATGAAAAAGGGAGCCTAATCAGGGGCTGAGGCCTACTGGTGGGGAAAGAGCAGGTGAAGGGGAAGGGGACTCAACAAAGTTAAATTAAAGAAAAAGGGTTCACCCAGACACACGTGGCAGTCACACACTGTGGTATCACCAAATCCAAGGAAGCACAGCACACAAGAAGGAGGGACACCACCACCCACGTCACCAGCACCACCACCAGCCTGCAGCCACTGAGAAGGGAAAACAAAAGTTACAATGGAAGTATTTAACACAAAATATAAATAATATAATAAAAACAATATACAACATAAAGCAGGAAATAGTTAACCAATTAAGCTTACCAAGCTAGTTAATCAAAACAATAAACAAAACAAGAAATACAAAAATAAGGGATTAACTCCTCACCATCGTTCAGCTAAAATAAAAAGAGATAAACAGATTAAAAGTATAGTGTCTGCAGTTCACCATGCAAGCCGGCTGTAGCCAGAAGCCACCAAGCAGCCAGAGCCGCAGAACACGGCAGCAAGGAATAAGTGACTGCAGAGGCAAAGCAGGGGACAATGTCCCATACAGCAGCAGAGACACAGCTATGCAGCTAGCAGTAGGGGCACAACAGCAGACATATAGTCGACAAAGCGGTATAAACACAGCAACCGTGTGTTTAACGGCAGAGGCAAAGCGGTGCGGACAAAGCAATGTAAATAAATCAGTGTAGACAAAGCATAGACAAAACACCGACAAAGCAGCGACAAGGCAGAGACAAAGCAGAGACAAAACAGAGACAAAACAGCAGCGGTCCCAATCAGCTGGTGGTGAAGGCACGTGAATCGCCACCTGTAGATTTCGGCCAGCTGACGAGCATTCCCTGTCAATAAACATACCATTAGCATAGCTAAACTACATTAATCAAAGCTTTTGAGAGTTAGATTTAAGGTAGCATACCTGTTTTCAAAGTCAAACCTGCACAGGGAGAGGGAGGGGAGAGAGAGACCCACACGGCAGCGGACATCTACCTGTGACCACACTAGCGTTAGCTACAGGATAGCATTCGGTGTAACACAGAGAGAGAGAACACTTACCACCGCCAGAGAGAACCAAGGTCTAAACGGAGCATGGAGCACAAAGCACGGGGCACTCGGTCGCTGCTCTGCAGTGAAAACACGCAGGCTTTAAGCAACAGGACACAGTAAAAGATGAAACAGAGCAGTAGCCGCAGCAGCGGCATGGAGCATTACCTGCACAGGCAAACACCTGACCCGGAAATTATGCGTTAGTGAGCGTGCGAGAAGGAGGGCCGTACTTATATACTGCCGCCCCAATGGTCAGCAGGTGCAATTAACTGCCGCATGACAGCCCTATGTCTATGCTGCTACATTCTACCCCGCCTCCTTGGATCGTCGTCCCGACGATCAACAAAGTGAGGCTAGTACAACAAGCTAACTCCAAGGTCTAAACAAGGCAGATACTGAGTTGGACACAGAAGCAGGAGGATTAGCGGCACAAGCATCTCCAGCAGACCGTGGGAAATGATGCACATTTGAATGCTGACCAGCCGTTTGACGTGTGGTCCGGCGTGGGCCCATGTTACTGGAATCAGGACAAGTGACAGAGGGAAGGACTAGAGATGTTAATGCTCCGGACGGTGCTGCAGGCACTTGAGACACAGCTGATCTGGTGGAGGGCATGGCAGAAATGGCCACATAAGATGGTTGGTCTAAGATCAACAAATCATACTCAAATGAAGGCTCCTCTGCTGGGGGTGATTCCTCGCCAGAGGTAGAGTTATGAGAAGTGGCATGACCAGGTGAGTCCACCATTACAACAGCCTTCAGCCTAGTGCGGTGGACCTGTCTGACTTTGGTCTCGTTGTCCATTGGCGCAATAGTATACACCGCGCCGCCTTCTTTAGGCATTCTCAACACCCGATACTTCACAGAACTCCACCGATCCCGGATCTTCTGGGGCCCCCTAGTACTTAAGTCACGCAAATACACAAGCTGCCCTTCCTGCAATGGCAAATCTCTGACATGCTGATCGTGAACTCGCTTCCGCCGATCAGCAGCATGTTTCAAGCGCTCTCGTGCTCCTTCAAATGCTACTTGCAAACGGGCTTGGTGCTCTTGAACCCACTCATGGATAGAGCCACCAACAGGGCTCTCAACTCGACCCAACAAGAAATCAATGGGCAGTCTGGGTTCCTGCCCGAACATCAGGAAAAAGGGTGACTCTCCGGTTGACTGGTGGGGAGTTGTGTTATAACAATACAACACCTGAGGCAGACACACATGCCAATCCCTTTTCCGGGACACTGGCAAGGTACGCAGCAAGTTGTGGAGCGTCCGGTTAAAACGCTCGCACTGACCATTTCCTTCCGGATGGTATGGGGTAGTGCGTGATTGTACAATCCCATACAGGTCACACAACTGCTGAATGAGGGTGCTTTCAAAGTTACGGCCCTGGTCAGAATGCAAACGAGCAGGGACGCCAAACTTATAAAACCACTCCGACACCAAAACCCTGGCCACAGTAGCAGCACGCTGATCCCGAGTAGGGATAGCCACCGTGTACTTACTAAAAACATCTGTAAGCACCAAAACATTCTCTAAACCATTCTGGGCTGGTTCTAGAGTCGTGTAATCGATGGCAAGGATTTCATTAGGGCGGGAAGCCAAGAGATGCCCCATGAAGCTATGTGCTTTTGGATGCACATCTTTGGCCACTTGACACCGCTCACATCTCTGACACCATTGAGCCACCTCGGAAGACATACCAGGCCAGTAGCATCGGGACCGAAGGAGCGCCAATGTTCGCTCCACCCCCTGGTGACCATGCTCCTGGTGCACCTGGGTCAGAACCTGATCTACCCATGCTTTTGGCAACAACAACTGAAACATGGCTTCGGCTCCATCAGGACGACACACCCTTCGGTACAGGACACCGTCCCTCTCCAGTAGGCGATCCCACTGCCTGAGCAAGACCAGCGTGGGCTGCGAGAGCCGTGCCCGCTCCTCACCACTGGTACGCTGGTTCTCCCTCCAAAAAGGCAACAGTTCCTGTATCACAGGGTCAGACTGCTGAGCGAGATGGAGTTCAGAACAAGTGTGCTGGGGCAAGGCGGCAGTGGCAGCCTGGGTCGCCTCTGCCTTTCCCAACCCCAGAGCTTGCTGCAAAGAATTGGGCATCGCAGTGCCTGGAAGCATCGCAGCGACATCCTGGGGACCAGGTGGATGCTGACGTGAGAGAGCATCTGCGTTAGTGTTGCTCTTCCCTGAACGGTACTTTATCTCGAAGTCAAAAGAAGCTAACTGGGCGGCCCACCTCTGCTCAGTAGCAGCCAGCTTAGCCGAAGACAAATGACTAAGGGGGTTGTTATCAGTGTACACCACACATTTGTTACCCAACAAGTACTCTCGAAATTTCTCCGTCATGGCCCACTTAAGGGCCAAAAACTCGAGTTTCATGGAGCTGTAATTTACCATGTTCCTCTCGGTGGGTCGCAGGCCCCTGCTAGCGTAGGCTATAGGCCTCACCTTGCCTGCCTGAGCCTGGGAAAGGACTGCACCCAAGCCACCATAGCTTGCATCAACTTCCAAGATGAAGGGAAGAGAAAAGTCTGCATAAGCCAACACTGGTGCCATGGTGAGCTTAGCTTTCAGTGTTTCAAAGCTCTGGTTACACTCATCATCCCAACACCTAGACAGCCGCTGCTCAGTCTTCTTATTGGTCTTAGTGCCACCACATTCGGCCACCACCCTATGCAGAGGAGCTGCCAGTTTGGCAAATCCTTCCACGAAGCGCCGATAGTAACTGGCAAAACCAAGAAAGGAACGAAGCTCTGAGGCAGTGGTAGGAATCGGCCAATTGGCAACCACGTCAATCTTGCCTGGATCTGTGGAGACACCGTCGGCCGAAATCACATGGCCCAAATAATTCACCTCTTTACGAAAGAATGAGCACTTACTGAGCTTGGCCTTGAGGCCCTCATGCCGAAGTCTTTCCAGCACCACCTGGAGCCTCTCCACATGCTGTTCCACAGTAGAGGAAAACACCACAATATCATCCAGATATAACAGCAAGGACTGACACTGCTGGTCACCAAAGATGCGTTGCATTAACCTCTGGAAAGTGCTGGGCGCGTTACAGAGCCCAAAAGGCATTCTGTTCCATTCGAACAAACCAAAAGGGGTGCAAAAAGCAGTCTTCGGCCGGTCAGCCTCAGTGACTGGCACCTGGTTATAACCACTGGTCAAGTCCAGGGTTGAGAACCAGCGAGCACCCGACAAGGCATCCAATGACTCCTCTATACGTGGCAGAGGAAAGGCATCTCTTCGGGTCTTACTATTGAGCTGCCTATAGTCAACACACATGCGCATGCTGCCATCTTTCTTTCGTACCAACACGATAGGGGACGCATAGGGGCTGCTACTCTCCCGAATGATTTGAGATGAGAGTAGACGATTGATGTGCTCCTTCACCACCTCATACTCTGAGGGTGGGATGCGCCTATGGCGCTGCCTCACTGGAGTATCGTCTACCAAAGGGATGTCATGGGAGATTAGATTTGTACAGCCCAGATCAGTATCATCGATGGAAAAGACTGAGGAATACTGTTGAAGCAGGGACTTCACTGGACCCTGTTCCTCCACAGACAAAGGTGACAAATCCACACTCTCCACCTGCTGCACACTAGGGGAAGCGGTCTGAGAAGACACGGTGGCCACACCCGATGGCACCTCAGTGACCCCGGAAGGAAGGCTGACCACATTCACAAAATCCAGTGTGCCGACAACAGTGCGGGGGTACAAAACAACATCATTACAGCCAACATTAATGACAGGTATGTAGGCGGTGCCCCTGATGACACGAACCAAAGAAGGGGAAGCAAGCAACCCAGCAGGTAAACCAGCCTCTAAAGGCTCGATGAGCACCGTAGACCCGGAGTACTGCTCAGAACATGTGGCTGCCACGATTTTCATTACCCCACCAGGAATCTGCCAACCCCTCTTACCCCTGACCTTCACTTTCCCGGGAACATCCTGGGACGCGACATCGCTAACACGATGGCACTGTTGCAGTGCCTGCACAACTGGCTCAGGGGCCTTTGAGATACAGACCTGGGAAAACAACGTTTCCCCATACTGGCCAAAAAGTTCCTGGTAGCACTTGCGGATCACGTTCATCCCCAAAATACCCGGCACTTTAGAAGGCACCCCACCAGGTAGGTCCCTCACTACCAACACACCACAGTGGGGCATCAGTTTACCACAAAGTTGCACGTCAAGCTCCAAGTACCCAAGGTAAGGAATAGTCAGACCGTTGGCAGCTCTAAGCTCCAACCAGTGACAAGAACGGAGACGCTCCTGGCCCCAAGGCTCGAGATGCTGGCGGAAAAAGCTCTCAGAAATAGTAGACACCATGGAGCCGGTGTCTACCAGACAAGGAACCTTCACTCCACCCATGTCCACATCTAAATGGGGACACGACGAAATCAATCCAGACGCATCCAAATCGCGTGAAGCAGCTTGTGAGCCAGTAGCAGCCCCACCCAAACTGTGACTCTGCAGTTTGGTGGGTACTAGTTTTCCGACCCAGAAGCAAAATGAGACTGCCTACCAGGATTAGATGGAGGCTGTGAATGGGATTGTGAGCGGGGAGCATGCACTCTACACTCCCTCGCAAAATGGCCAGGCTGATTGCAGCGCCTGCATAGCATTGGGCCAGTACGAGGTGGGTGACTGTGCTGATGAGAGACCTGCAGCCGGGCAATGCTTTCAGTGAGCTTATTAAGCTGCTCTTGCTGACGCTGTAGCATCTCCCTCATCTCACCCATCTCTGACACGGGGGGGGAAGAAACGCCCTGCGGGTTACCTTGAACACCATACTGAACACCAAACACTAAGGGGACTGAATGACTGCGGCCCCTCACACCGCTGGGTAGACCTTCAAGCTCCCACTGAATCGCCTCTGCTCTAACAGC